ACACACACTCCGGGCCCTTAACGGCCCCTCACCGGCCCTAACGGCCACACACCGGCCTTACCGGCCCCTCACCGGCCCTAACGGCCCCTCACCGGCCCTAACGGCCCCTCACCGGCCCCCGCCCCGCAGCGGAAGGCCCGTGACGGCTCCTCATCCCCCCTGACTCCCCCCGCGGCCGGCCGCCCGCCCGCCCCGCTCACCGCTCTGCTCGCCCAGAAAGACGAGCTTGAATTTCCTCAGCGGGTTCCCGAACTCGCCGCCGCTGCCGGGGGCGGACATGGCGGCGCGGGGAGGCCGAGCCGGAGCCGTGACTGAGGAGAAGGAGACACCGCCGAGCGTACACCGGACCGCCGCCGCCCCGCCCCGCCGCGCGTCACTTCCGCCGCCGTCACCGGCGCGTCACTCCGCCACACCCCCACCCCACCCCTCCGTAGGGCGGAGCGGTTGCCATGGCAGCGGGCCGGTCTCCGGTGGCGGCAGGCGCTGCGGCCTGTACCGGGGATCCCGACCGGGAGCGGCGGCCGCCGGGTTTTGCAGCCCCTCGCCTTCCTGCCGAGGCCCGCGGCAGCCTGAAGCACCGCCTGCCCGCTTCGGGCTCTCCCGCGGCCCCGGGGTGGGCCTCGCTCCCCGGTACCACGACACGGAAGCCTGCACCGGGCCCGCTGGGGCGGGTTTATTGATAATGGTGTCACAGAGTATCGCGTAACGCAGGCAAACGACAAACACGCCGGCGACGGCACCCTCCCAGTCCCCTCGCTGGGTGCGAGGAGGTGGGAGCACCGTCCTTCAGGCTGTCGGGCTTTCTGCCGCAACCGGGGTCTTGGAATCGGTGCGAGGAGCCCGGGGAGGGGGGGAGGAAGGTGTACCCTAAGGGAATACATCGCACCGTGCGTAGAGGGCTGAGGTGTCTGCACCGCGTGCGGTACAGCAGGGAACGCGCTACGGGCATCTACGTCCCAAACCAGGCCGCCTGGGACCAGGTGGCTGTCCGTGCGAACAGGCAGCCAGGTTAGCTTTCCTCTTTGTTGGCCTCCTCCTCCTCGTCGTCTTTCTCCCCCTTGAGTTTCTGGCGAGCGAATTCCTCGATGACGATGTCCTCCTCGCTGGAAGGGAGAGCAAAGCGTGGTGAGCCGGGGAAAGGCAGCCACGGAGAGCCCATGGTCCGGCTGCCCAGGATGCACCGCAGCGAAAAGGGCGAAATCCCTGCTGAACCCCCAAACTAGGGGACAGCGCGCAAATCCTGCTGGTGCTGGCCCCAGCCCCATCACCCCCCACACTGCAGGGAGCAGTCAGGTAGCGTGGGGTCACTGCGAGCCACAGCCTGAGCCAAGCACACAAATCCAGGACAGATCGCTGGCTCGGCTGCGAGCGTGCGTGACCGGAGGAGCTGGGCGAGAGCAACTGCAACTTTCGGCATTTTTTTTTAAAGACGCTGTTTTGCATTGTCAAGGGAAAAAAGGGAAGGAAAAGAAATTAAAGTGGAGACAAAGAGATTAGTTACCTTCTTGCGAAAGGCAAGCGGCAGATGACATCAAGGGAGAGCCACAAAATGAAAAGTGGGGGAAGAAAGTGGAAAAAAAAGAGTCAGCAAAACCAATTCCAAAAGCTTGCGAATGTGAAAAGACTTGGCAAAACCTACAGGGAGCGATGGTGGGGACAGGCCAAGAGATTTCCTCCTCTGGAAGTTTAAATATCCTCGCTGGGCTGGGAAACTGATAGGCTTTGGTGTGAAAGCCTTGCAGTTGCAGCCCGAGTTTCCAGGCTCCAAATCCCAGCGCTCACATCCCGTGGCAGGGTGTAACCAGACACAAAAACAGCCTTTTGGGGCTTTGCAAGCCAGGGCCGGCTGTGGGGCTGGTTGGCGGCCGTGGCTGCCAGGAATGGGTTTGGCACGCTGCAGCTTCCCAGAGAGAAGCAACCCCAGCTGTGGCTTCAGCTTGGAATAAGCTCATGTGGTGGGAGGAGAAGAGGGCTCTGGCAATGGGGAGCGTGCAGGGGCACAGGGCTGTGACCAGCGCTGCTTCCAGCAGCCAAGGGGCCGCAGCATGGGGCAGATGGGGACCAAGGCCATAGGGGACATTATGTGCAGCGGTGGCACTTGCGACTGGGAGACAGAGCGCTGCTGGCTGCTTCCGAGGGACAAGGCGAGGTCTGGGCTTGCAGCAGGAGAGGCTGCTGTGTTTGCAGCAAGCGGAGTTGTAAAATAAGCCCTGGAAATCAGCAGAACGTGTGCCGAGCCCAGCATTTGAATCCTCCCAGCCTGTGACAATGCTCCTGCTGCCTGTGCCACCATGGAGGGTGTCATGCTGTCTGCTGTGACGCAGGGGCTCAGGACTTCGAGGCCTGGATGATTTAATCCAAGGATGTAATCTCAAGCTGGAATGGGGCATCACATCCATCTGTGATGGATCTGTATGGTTTATGTGTTAGAGGAAATACTGGCTTGAGGTATAAGGAAACATCTCTTTACCTTGGCTTATCTGTAGTCCATTGATAAGCAAAGCACAGGGAGGCAAGGATTGAGAGAGACACACATGCAGGTTAATAGAGAAAGGGCGTTTCAACTAACTTAATGCTCAAGTGTTTTTCTGGAAAGAGAGACATTGGGATGGGTGGCCCCCAAGGTGCCACGGGGAGAAGAGCTGCTCCCACACTGGTCCCGGAGAGAGGGTGGCTGCCATGCAGCCAGAGCAGCTCTGCCCGTCCCACAGCCAGGGATACTGGGGCAGAGCAGGGCCCTTTGCACGGGGGCAGCTGCATCAGCGGTGCTTTTACAAGTTCCCCTCTGAACAGGGACTGCCTCTTCCTCCCAGGTCTTCTGGCAGCATCCCAGGCGCTACTTACCGTCCGCAGGCTTCGGGTGCATCAGGATGACAGGCAGCTCGACTCCAACATCACTGGAAGGAAAACCACTTCTTTCAATAAACCTGCCCAGTGCCGCACTGGGCGGGCACTGAGCACTATGCTGCACTGGGTCCTGCAGGCAGCTCCTCCCTTACCTGGCAGTGAGATCCCCCAGGATGCTGCAGCAGTGGGAGAGAAGGAACAGAAATCAGCCAATGCAGAGGAGGGGAGGTGTTAGACTTTGCTTTATAATAAGGTAGAAAATTATTTATAATAGGGTTGAAGGGCAGTGGCGATGGGGATGGGGGGGGAGTCAGGGAGCACGGATCCATGGCAGGAGCCCAGTATCTGGCTGCCCCGTGCCCTGGGGGAGCAGGGCAGGGACAAGGGGATCCATGGCATGAGTCCCTTCATCATCTGCCCGGTGGTACAAGATCCCACAGCACGGCCCAAGGGGGTGGTCCCGACCCCCCCGCGGCCACAGAGCCTCACCCTCCTCGGGACACCACCAGGTTGACCTTCACTTTGTAGGACACCAGGATGCCCAGCACCTCCTTGTCCATGCCGGGTCTCAGGCTAGGAGAAAGGAAGAGTGGAGTGGTGAGGAGGGCACTGCTGCTCTCAGACCCCATCCGCTTCCCCCACAGCAGCTCCAAGGGCTGTCTCCATGCCCCATTTTGTGTGGGGTACCCTGGGTTTTAGCAAGAAAGGACAACACAACGTGGCAGTAAAAAGAGAGGGGAGGGCAGGTCATTTGGCTGAAGCCACAGAGCAGTTTCTGGAGGCCACTTGAGCTGTCTGAGCTGGGATTTACTCACGAGATGAGACCCAATGCAGTTCTGCAGAGGGATACAGGGGCTTTGGAGTGGGACTGGGAGGCTACGGCTCTCTTACGGGGTGGAGAGGTGGATCTGTGGCCATGTCACAAAATCCCCACATTTTCCAGCTGGACAGGGTGGGCTCAGGCACAGGAGGTGGGGGGGAACCTTGATGGGAGCCCAGAGCATCCTGAGTATTGGGAAGCGGCCGGAGAGGAGGGAAGGCATAGGTCCTGCCGTGGCGGGGAGCGGGGGAGCCCGCCTGGCTCTTACATGGTGGTGGAAGCCAGGTTGGTGTCCTCGTGCTTGAGCTTGCCATCGAGAGCAAGGCCTCGCTTCTCACGGTTGGCCGAGAGCGTGGGGGTGATGGAGTACGTTTTGGAGAAGGTGGAGTTGGCTGCCACGTTCTCGCTGGAAGGGGTGGGAGAGGAGAGCTCAGAGCCAACACCAGCCTGGTGGGTGCTCATCACCCGCTGGGGATGCTCAGCATCGCACCAGGCACGTAGGCAGAGCCAGACCCCCCCTACCCTGCCCTCCCCACGCAGCTGCCTGGGTCTGTTTCCTCCTTTCGTTCCTTTATACAACCACTTCTTTTTCCTACACCTCGCCTCTGCTGCAGCCTGCCTGGTTCTCAGGGGCGCAAAGGCTGCAGCTGGCCTCAGAGATGCAAAGTAAGGAGACGAAGCAGCCGGGGGGGCAGCTGCGCACGTTCCCCCAGGGACCTCCCCAGCCAACACCAGCTTGTGCTGGGGGGGCACAGTGTCCACAGCCTTCCCTCTCCTCTGCTTCCTCTGCACCTGCTCTTCTAACACTGATATTTTTGCTGCCTGGTGTAAAACTGTCTTCCGTCTCCCCATCACTCTCCCCCCCCTCCTCCTTTCTCTTCCTCCTTCTGGCCGCGATGCCATGCCACCCCCAGTCCCTTTTTACTTACTTTATCTCCTCGGTGCACACAGTCTTCGTGTATTTATCCAGCGAATAGAGGACCACATCTGTGATCTGATCAACTGAGAAGAGACAAGAGAGAGCAGCGTTGGTGACATGGCAGAGGCACGGGCGCACAATCCCCATCTCCAACCCGGAGGCTGGGACGTGGCGGGTGCCGGGACATGCCCCTGCTGCCTCCTCTCACCTGAGAGCTTAATTTTTTTCACAATCTTGTTGGTGGTGTTGTTGATGTTGACGGTCACATTGATGGGGTCTCCATGGTAGTAGATCTGCAGTGGGAAGATGCTCGGTTACACGACTGGGCATCCTGGTCCCCGTCTCTGGGGACACAGGTGGTGGCACAAGCCAGGCGATGGCTCCTGTACTGACCTCCTTATCCAGGGAGGCTTCAAGGTGCAGGGGCTTGTCGGACATCATGAACTGCCGGGTGGTCTCCGACTTTGGGGCTGGCCCCGTCACCAGGGGTGCAAACTGGATCTTGCGGATGATGAGGCGCACCGAGTTCCTGCGGGGCAACAAGCGGTCACCCCCAGTAGGGACGTGTCAACACAGCCTTCGAGGGGGACACGTCGGCTGTCTTCGGGGACATCACAAGGTCTCTAGCCAAAGGATGCAAGCTGCAGCCTGCTCTTAGGACATGGTGGGCTCTGACACGGGGACCACTGCCCCTCCTTCAGGCAAAGTACCCGATCCAAGTGTGGCACAGGCTGACAGCAGGTCCTCAGCCCGACCCCTGAGCTGGCCATGGGGAAGGAAAGGGATCCCCTTCAAATACCTCTTGTGAATTTTCTCCTCCAGATTTTCAGCACAAAATCCTTTGACCTCGAAGTCCACGCCACAGGCCTGGGAGGAGATGTACGGTCACTAAGCAGGAGGGGCTCAGAGCTGCCTGAGGTTTAGATTCATTCCTCTCCTTCCTCCACCACATCCCCGGAGATCCTGGTCCCGACTCCAGCCATCCTTCCTCCCCAACCCTCACCCCATGGGCCACATCCCCATGAAAGAGAAGCAGCTCTCATTTTTGGCACCCCACAACTTAACCCCCTGCCAGGAAGGAATGGGTCTGGGGGACACAGCTCGGGGACAGCAGCTCACCTTTCCCACATCATCTGGTCCTGGCTGGAGGGTGACTGAACAGGGCAGGTTGGTGGCAATCTGGGCAGAACAGGGAAAGAGAGAAAAAAGTAAATTAAGAGCATGCCCAGAGATGAGTCCTGGTGTACACCACAGAGATGTGTGGTCAGAAAGGGCTGAGCAGCCCTTACCTCGAAGGTGAAAGGGTAGGCATTCTCCCCAAGCTTCTTCATCAGCTTCTCCTGCAAAGGAGTGAGGGTTTTGGGTGTCTGGTCCGGCACCGGTGGGAAGATCTGGGTGGTCAGGACATAGAGGTCCTTCCTGAAGGTCAACCCGATAACGTCGAGGTCATCTCGGCCATAGCGAAATGCGCAAGTCAGCGTCACATACACTGAAGCCGGATGGAAATGGAGAGGAGCAGGGTTAGGGGAAAGGTGAGGTAAAGGGAGGGCATGGGGTGGGGAAAAGGGGTTGAATAAAGAGGAAAGAAAGAAAAACTACTGTAATAACTCTTCAGCAGAAATACGACTCTGTTATCAGGACCTGGACCTCAAACACTAAATATAAAGTGAACAAGATTCATCACATCTTTCTGCAAGGCCCGGGTAGCTTCAGAGCTGGTGCCCCAGGCAGAATAGATGAGAAGAAAGAGGCAGCCTTCTCCTCCAGGTCAGCTGCTGTGGCCCTGACATACAACAAGCTGTAGATGACCCATTGCAGCTTTAACCTGACTACAGTCCCAGGTTTCTGGTGAGCTTTGCACTGGTTTCCATCCCTTCCTCTTATAACGTGGGGTTTTCTGTATTAATACCTTTTCTGTCCTTTAGGTACTCTGGGTCTATCAGGCAGATGCCATCTGCAAATAAACAAAGAAGAAGGGAGGGTGAGTTCAGCTGCCCAGGAAGATCCTTGCAAAAACACAGCGCTTTTTAAATTCAAATAATCTGCTCATCAGCTGGGAAGGTGACTGAGGGAAGCTGCCAGTCGGGGGGATGGCGGTGCCTCCTCCAGCATCTCCACCAGCAGCTTGGCCAAGTTGTTTTGCAAAGGGACTTTGTCCCTTTCCTCACCATTTTTCTGTAAGGGTATTTGCAGGAAAAACGGGATGTTTGCTCCTCCGGAGCTGCCCTTGCTCCTCCTGCTCCGGAGGGAAGCAGAGATGAGCAGCCACCAGCATAGGGACTGGTCTCTCTGGCCGCTCGCTCCCCATGCCTCCCCCTCCATCACGGGCATGGCCCCACTCACCTACGGAGTCCACTGACTCCACATGATCCACAAAGTCTCTCTTCCCCAAGTAGATGGATAGCTGGAGGCAGCACACAGTGAAAGGAAAGAAGGAAACAAGTTAGTGTTTGCCGTTAAATTGGCCAAAATTTTCAAGCCCCGAGTTGTGTCGTGGGGCTCATTAACCCTGTTAGCCTGTTGGACCAGACATTGCATTTAAGGGTTCGTATAGTTTTGTTTTTTTAATTTCTACTTTGAAAAGCAAGCCTTGCGGTGGCATCGTGGCAGGTATAGCAGGAATCAACCAGATCTCAAAAGGAAGGGCCAGCCTGTGTCCCGTCCCATGGGCAGAGACACCCCAGAGGAGCCCCAGCACAGCCTGCATGTGGGCACACAGTCCCGTCTCTGCGTGCGTGGACTCACCTTGCTGTTGGGGCTGGTCTTCTTGAACACCCTGTGAAGGAAACACAGGCAGACGTGTTGGGAATGCCCTGGACCAGGCTGGATGCGGCACAGCCCGCTCCCAGGGTGGGGAGGGAGAGGGCGGCTGTTCATCTTCGTGGGGCAAGGAGGTGATGGCTTCCCTGCAAGCATGCTGCATCTCCAAGAGCTACGCCAGAGCGTGCACAGGATGGCCTGGCCTTGGGGAATTCAGTGTCCTGCAAATTTGGAGCCCAAACCCCCCTGCCCAGTCTCACTGCCCCAGGGGATGTCATGCTCCTGAGCTCAGCGTGCGACCATCAAGGAGGGGTGCATTAGCCAGCTGTGTCTTAAGGGCAAGTGAGAAAGCACCAACAAGCAGAAGAAAAGAGAAGGCCCTTCAATGACCCCGTGACAGCTCGGTCCATCTTGCTGCAGTGAGCTCACATACCTGCACGCAGGGGCAGTGGGTGGGGGGAGCTGGGGGGGGGCTCACTTTCTCGCCCCATCCAGGGTCAGGGCACTGGGTCTCCCCCACTCCTACCCTGCAGCATCCTGCTCCATCCCAATTTAAAAAAAATAAAATAGAGGCACTTACTTTGCTCCTTCTGCCATTTTAAGTCAGCGGCTGCGCAGGCAGGGATCTGCGGGGAGAGATGGAGGGGGCACGCTGGGCGAGGCAGCGGGGAAGGGGCAGCCGCCGGCCACTGCCAGCCAGCAGGACAAAATCGTTCATGTCCCAACGAACTGCAGGGCTGCAGCACTGCTGGGCATTTCGCCTTCACAGAGCTCGGACGCTCAGGATTCAGCTGGGGCTGCCCAGCTTCAGGGCGGCACACAAGGCACGTGGTAGCATCTGGAGACCTGCTGGGGCAGGTGAGCCATGCAAGCCCCTTGCCCCCAGCCAAAAAGGTGGTCAAGAGGAGGTGGAAGAGAAAAAGGGAGAGCGATGCCCCAGGCAGGCACGCTTCAGAAAATAGGAAGCACAAGGGTGACTCCCAAGGGAACAAGTTCAAGGCTGGGAAAGGCAAGAAAATGAAGACAAGGGCTTACGGAGTTTCAATTTTATGAATTTTTCTTGCCTGTGTGAAATTGGCTGTCATGACTTAATGGCAGGAATGGGACTCATTTTGTTCTGTCACTCACGGGAGAGCGAGGAAACCACAGGCAGAAAGGTCGAGGGCAGCTTAACCGCCCCGTGGGTAGGGGGGTCTTGGGTTGCACGGCCCCTCTGTCCCCGTCCCTGAGCTGGCTCTGGGAGGGCAGCGCTGGCAGCTCTGTCTTCACACCGGGAGCCTGTCCAGGGCTGCCCAGCCCTGCCCGTCTGCGCTGCCTGTGTTTTGCTTGCTCAAGCCTGGCATCCAGAATTAAACCGTAAATATTGCACTGATCACCAGCTGATTTCACCAGGAGATTAGATGGGATGAGCTCAGCTTCTTAAAGTTAGGCAGCTCTGACATTAGCAGAGCTTAAGGCCAGGTAGGATTTTAAGCCCCAGGGGCATGTGGGCAGAGTTGCCTCTTTATGCAACCGCAGGGATGCTGGGGAGAAGGAAGAAATTGATATGGGGGGGAGGAGATGATCCTCCTCCCCATGGGAAAACAAGGGATTAGCCCCAAACACAGGATCTTTGCTTCCCTCAGGTGCCACGGGATGTGAAGCTTGAGCATCCTTGCCCACAGGGTTTCTTGGGCAGCAGCAAGAGAAGGTGCAAAGGGAGTGGGAGCAGAGCGGTGCTGCAGACTCGGCCCTCTCCAGAGCCCAGGAGTTGGGGACGAGGCGATGAAAGGTGGAGGAGAGAAGAGCTGAACTCCTCCTCTGCATCTCCCAAGCCCCAGAGAAGGGACTTGGACCCCTCCTGGCTTGGCTAAGCTCTCCCATGCTGCTACCTGACCCCTCCACCCATGCCCACTGACTCGGCCACACAGAAACCCTTTTGGCCACATTTTTCCCCTTTCAGCCCCAAACCACCCTCCTTCCAGCCACAGTCCAGCGCCAACGTCCCTGCCCCAAAGTGTTTTACAAACCAGCAGAATCCGTGCCCCAAAGCACTGGCAGGGCCCAGGCAGCAGAGCAGACAGCACTCACCTGGCGGGTGGATGGACAGACGGATGCTCTCCTCTTCCCCTCCCAGCACGTCCCACTGCCACCCAGTCACTACGGGCTGCTCCCAGTCTTGCAGCCTCTTATACCCCCTGGCGGTCCCTCCCCTGGCATCTGATCTCCACGGGGCAGGGGGGGTGCATGTGTGTGTGTGTGCACCATGAAAGAGGTACTTTTGGGAAGAATCCTATTAGTTTATTAATTGGGGAAGACGCTTCATGAGTAAGAGTGGGCTATAAATACGGCTGCTGCCAGAGCCCTGAGAAAGCAGCTTACGGAGATTGGCAAAGCGGGCTTAGGAGTAAAGTGATGGTAATTGAGGTGGAAGCTCTGCTCCCGGTGGGCAGGGGTGCAGGCAGGGACGCAAACTCCCAGTGATGCTCTCTACAACTGCTCCCATGGCAAGTGGAGCTGGGCCAGCCCTGGGCACGAGGGTGGATGGAGATGGCAGACGGGCAGGAGGGACCTGCCGGGTTTTATCCCTCCCTTACGCACTTTGCTGGATGGCTAACAGATGGACAGGAGGTGCAGGCATCTTCCTGCATGGCCAACATGCCCATGTGGCCGGTCACCTAGAGGTGACCCGCTGTGGTCCGGGGCACACAGGACACCCTTGCCACGGGGCCCACTGATGTACAAGGTGATGGGGTGAAGGCAGATGCGAGGTCCGGGGCTGCAGCAGCAGCTCCCACGCTGGGCTTCGCTGCCCCCGAAGCAGCAGGGGAGGGCCAGCCACCCCTTGGTGGTGGGACATGGACATGCCACTGTCCCCCAGCACCGCCGGGCAATCTGCTCAGCCCCACGACATTTCATAACACCGCAGGCTGGCCTCACCTGACCTGATTAGCACATCATTAATTCACAGTTTGCTGCTGTATATAGAAAACTGTTGAAAGCGCAGAGTGGATTTGCCTTACGGCTGGCCAGGAAAGAAGCGCTTCCTCGGTCGCAGCCGGCACACAGGATCCCCCTCCCACAGGGATGGCTGTGGGATGCTCGCAGGATGCTGCCCCTGGGTTGGCCCTAGAGACAGGGCACAGACCCCAGGAACAGCCCAGGACAGCCTGCAAACTGCTCCAGCATGGCCCCACTCATCTTCCTCACCTCCAGAATCCATCAAGCCCTTGCTTGCTTGGCCAGACCCTTTGCTTTGAGCACGCACTTGGTCAGGATGTCCCTGCTCTCTGCTGTGCCTTCACCTCAGAGCTGCCAGCAACCTCATCCCACCACCTTGGATCAGCTCGACCTTTCTCACCTGGGTACCAACTCCTCCCAAACACAGCCCACATGTGCCCCTGGCCCCGTGGGACACCAGGAGCCACTGGGAGCCATCATGAGCCACTGGGAACCATCATGAGCCACTGGGAGCCACCACAGCACGCCAGCCCCACCAGCCTGGGGCTTTAGCTGTCAGCACACGTTGCCCGGGGCCAGGACTTGTGATCTCTTTAATTGCACACAAGAGAGCTGCTTAGTTTGCAGATTAGCGGGTGCTATTTCTGCCAAGGTCAGGGGGACACGTGAACTGTGACCTTCCCGCTGGTGGGTGGAAGAAGAGGAGGAGGAGGCAGCTCCACCTGGATGCCCGCTGCCTGGCTGGGGGGGACGGCGGAGCGGCCACCCCCAGTGCCATGCCCGAGGCACCTAATCCTGAGCTCTCTGTTTGTGGCTCTTCATTAGGCTCTTAATAAGGCTCCTGAGACTGGTGCCATTCACAAGAGCTGTTGTGGCTGTAGGCTCTGCGGAGCGTGGCGAGGATGGAGAGCAGATTTCAATACGGGTGGCTTTAGCTTGGTTTAATCCTGACTGGGGTGGACTCAGCCACGGAGACCTTCCCCAGGTGGGGGGGGGGGCAGACATTTCCCCTCCCCAAAACAGCGGTGAGACGGACAGACCACATCCTTTCCTGCGCTTACACTATGCTCTGAACCTAGCACCGGGGAAGGAAGCTGGGGGATGCAGTGCCGTGTTAAAAATAATAGGGAAATGAGAGAGGGCTTCTTCCTTTTTCCTGTTTAATAAATGGTCAAAGGCTCCTCTCATCCGCCTCATCCCACCCGTCCGTCCAGGTCCCCATGCTGCGTGAAGCACAGCTCAAACGGCCACTTCCAGTGGGGCAGGACACTGGCGGAGCACGTGGAGGTCCAGCTTCATCCCTGGTCCCCAATGGACAGTGCCCTGCGGTGTCCCACCTCGCCGGGGAACGGCCACAGGGCTTCCCACGTCCTCCCGCTTCAGTGCCCTCACCCGCAGGGTCTGTCCTCCAAAGGGAGCCTGGGTGGAGCTGGAGCTACCCAGCAAGCTGGCACCAGTGAACCCACATTGCCTTCCAAAATTGAACCATCCCCAGGTGCTGGCAGAGCTCCCTGGGTGCTGGTGCATCTGGCAACGTCCCAGCTCAGCCTCCGGCACCGTGCACCACAGCCACCTTACATAAATGCCCGCAGCCGGCGCCGCTGATTTCTCAAAGCCCCTCAGAGCTCCAGGGCTTCCTCCTCTGATCCGGATTAAGTGGCGCGGACGGCATTAATCTGAAGCCAGGCGCCTCCATGGCTGCGGGGAATTATTGCCGCGCTGTTAAGTAACGGGAGGGAGCAGCACCGGTGGGAGCGGGTCTCTGGCAGGACAGGGATCTCCAGCAGGATGGGGGTCCCCGGCTGCCATCCCTGCACAGACCCACCATCGCTGTGTGTCTGCATGGTGGGCGCTGGTGAGAGATGCAACCGGTGCCCTGTGGCCCGGAGCCGCCAGCCCAAAATCAAGCGGGCTGCCCGACTTCTTGGCAACCCTGGCCACAGGTTCCTCTCGAGACCGGGAGCCCAGAAGGAAGCTTCGGCAGGGGCTTTTGGCACGTCTGCGCCGGTGGGATTCCGCAGACAGTGGTGGGGGACGGTCCCTTTGCGCTGAGCTCATGGCTGCAGGGGTCAGCTCATGATGCCAAGGGCAGCAGAGAGCTGGAAGCATGGCTTGGCATGGCACTCCATTCTCGTCCTCATCATCATCCTCATCCTCATCCTCCTTCTCTGGCAGGAACCCGCTATCCTGTCTTTCCCCGGAGCAGCCCTGGTGCTCCCGGGCACCCTGGCAGCAGACGGTGGCTGCTGCTCATCTGTAATTAATTGGTGCTAATCACCCTACCGCAGCTTGAGCCAGCTGCACACGCACGGCCCACTCACTCCTTGCCACGGGGAGCAAGACCTCGAGGTCTGCACCCAGGAGCTGGGGAGCTATTTGCAGCCCCATCCTGCCGGGAAAAGCCTCCCTCCTTCCCGACCCCTTCCCAGGAGCCTCCGAACCCCGCTTCCCTTCTGCCTGTGGGCAAAGCACGCACAGACAGGGTGACATGAATGCCATCGTGGGCTCCTGGCTCGCTCGGCCGCCTGATGCCCGCCAGCATCTCCGTCTGCGTGCAGCCGGCAGCAAACAGCAGAGCTCAGCCCCAACGCGGGCGGCAAGGTCCCCGGGAGCGGGCAACTCGGTCGCTGCCCTCGGGCTGCCTGCCTGCCCGCTGC